TCACTATAATGTTCTAATTTATCATCACTGTTTTTTGCGGCTAACAATTTAAAGGCGACTACGATGCTCTTCAAACCTGGCCATTTCAAAAGAAGATTACCATGATGCTCTTGGATCAAGGTAATGGAGATCACATGATCGATGCCTTTCACTCTGATCCTCAGAGTTCATCTTTTCAATGCCCGAAGTCTGACATGAATATAGCATCAGGCTCACCATTGTTTATGCCTCTTGATAGTTTAAATAATCGTCAGTATATCAAAGATGATGTTATGTTCATTAAAATTATCGTGGATTAAACAGGTCGGAATTTTGTCGCTATAAATGAAATTAATTTCAGATAAATAATAGCGGCAAGATTCCGATATTTTTCGCTGCCTATTTATATGATAGCACAGCATGCAAGGTGATCCAAAATTAATCTTAAGCGCATGTTTTCCGAAGATGAACAAACAAACAACACATTGTTTCCCAGCCATGATTCCGAAGGTAGTCGAACCAGGAAACATTGTTTCTGAGTCATGTTTCCCGAAGTTAAAAAAAAAAAAAAATTTGGATCCGCAAGATTTTTTGCAATGACCAACTGGGGGAAACATGAGGAGAAAGATCGAAATTATCAATTGCCCAGGGCTAAAAGCACAGCAAACAGTCTTGTTTTTAAAATGCAGGCGTTGTCAAGTAGCAGAAGCAAGAATCTACCACGAACATATCGTAGTTGAAGATTTCAAAAGTTTTAATTGTATTCGGGTTTTTTCTTCGAACGTTTCTTCTTAAGTATCTTTGAAATTTGGTCTTTTTCTTAAACAAGCATGGTTTTCATTGGAACAAGTTCGAGCGACCACGTTCATTTGGATGCCTTTTTCTATACTCTTTTCTTTGGTGTTATACGGGCTTGAATATTTAGCTTCTGTGTGGTACCCGTTGCATTTCCTTATCATTACTTTGTAGTTTTGGGATAAACTTATGGAATACAATCTTTAAGAAGTGTTTTTCTTTGTAGACTTTGTTCTGTGTCGTTTAGTAGCCAGATGATGTTTCTTTTCAGAGATTGATGTTGTTCTATGGACCAGATCATTCATTACTAGGATTAACCAATAAGAGAGTTTTGTTTCGTAATCTTTATCCCGTATGAATAAGTAATCCTTTTAAGTTTCTTTTTTTGTTTGTGGTAATTCATTGTCCCTACACCGACCCAAGTAGGTACCCCCTCCCCATATAAGTACGGAAGTAATTAGTATTCAAGGGAATGTATATACGACGTCAACAGGGGATGTACGTCCATACGTTCGTACTTAGTGTACGTCCAAGAGTTCGTACGTAGTGTACGTCCAAACGTTCGTACTTAGTGTACGTCCAAGCGTTCGTACTTATTGTACGTCCAGTTTAATAAGCATTACGTAATTGTATTGCATGTCTATAAAAGAGACTGCGCGTTTATTCATTGCATGCTAAGCCTTTGAATTCGTGTATGGGTCTTGCCATAAGAGCAGGCTTACGGGACGCAAGGACACGTTAAAATGCGTCCGTAAGAAAGTCCCGTGCGTCTCGCATATAGTAGTCTAGGACCTGTATATGAGTTTGTATGCATTTCATTTAGGACAGATAATCTCAACTGTTTTAGGGCAAGTTGACCATGACGGTCAACATG